TCAGGGGAAGTAGGGTTGAAACATGCAGTGAAGAATGAGAGGCGAGAGGAAAACAGGTCAAGAGGGGTTCGTGACCTTTTTGACCTTTAGGACTAATTGCCCTATGTTAACCAATTGCTGATTTAGACGACGAAAAGTTAACAAGGGTTTAGAGGTCACTGTGATAATTCAAATCCGTCTGTTCTTTTAACTGCTGAGGAATTGTCAGTAAATATGTTGGAATCATCCGGATGTTTTAATCACATCAGTTGGGATTGTGTGTAATTTTGTGGAAAAAGTGGATTAGTGCTCCTGCCTTATTACATATAACAAACATGAACCACACAAGTTTTTTCAGTTAGCAGGTTAGCATGTTAGCATGCGGAAAACAATGATAAAAGAAAATTAAAATAGTGAAGTCGAATACGAATATCCTGTGAATCAAGTATAAGTTTTAGTGACATTTTATTTCACTGTAGGACAAACTAAATTTTCTCAAACACGTTATTTAAACCAAGTCAATAATTTAGTCTTTTACAATTTCCACCCAAACAACCAACCCAAAACAGTGTCAATACATCAGGCTGATACCTGATGTATTGATGTACAATGTAAATGGACAACGTCCACACAGTATTCTACTGCACTGGTACAATTTTTGTGCAAAATCCATGCCGAACAAGACGTTCAAAGCTGAACTTTTCTTCTCTTCTTCCCAGCGTCTGCTGAATGACCCACTCCTCACTCCTCACGTCTGCCTTACAGCAGTTTTCTCCCTTCGCACCGAACACGTTCCATTCACTGCAAACACTCAACAGTTGCTAGGGAGCCACCGTCCACTGAATACATTCTAATCAGGATGCTGCATCCCTGCTTCCTCGCTGACGGACGGTGGTCAAGGTCCACCCACGTCTACACGACCATATTAGGAAACACGGTGCAGCACGCTGTGACAGCACTTAGCATTTAACACCGGTGCATTTCTAAGCAGGGAGAAGTTGGAGAAACGTGTTTGAATTATTTATGCATTACCTTCCTGCACGAGGGCAGCCAACCAGCATCGTCTGAACCTCCAGTCATCTCTCTCTTCTCTTTTACTTCAGACTACTTCAGAGTAAATATACTGTAAATGAAGGTGATGTACGTTCTAGATGAAAGATGCTGACGTTCAGTGGTAAAAACACGGTGGACATTTTACAGGTTTCATGTTTTTTTGAAAGTACACAAAAAAGTTTTACTCAAAGTGCAGGTCGTACTCACGTGTTTTTGAAAGTACACATAAAAGTTTTACTCAAAGTGCAGGTCGTACAAGGATACGTTCTGCAGCTCACACTTCACGTACTGTATGGCGTTAATGATGCTCTCCGTGCCGTTGACCTTTGTTTCCTTGGACCAGTTCCTGCTGGGAAACGGTTTCTGAAAATTCTGGATTTTGTAGACTCTGATTCTACTCTTATCCCTTTCTTGTGAACTGTTTTTTTCTATTAGGTCAGGAGTATCACATTCACAGTGGGCCAAAATTATAAACTGGGACGGAGTCGTGGGCCAAACTTAATATTTACTGAAAGATTTTCATATAGAAACAAACTTTAGTTTTATGTAAACATTGAATTTGAAATAAGACACATCTGTGCTATTTGTTTCTTATTATGTCTCTTTATCTGTGGCCTTTAGAGTTCCTTTAAATGTAAATCTTTTTTTTACAGACCAACAACAAAAGAACAACCAAAACTGTATGTGCTATAATATCGCGCATACTTTGTTAATGCTACAAAATCCGCCTATATAGAATGGCTTTATAATTACACCAGCGGCCAGATTTGGCCCGCGGGCCTGAGTTTGACACCTGTGTTTTAGGTGGTTAATAGGACATGTCCATGATCTATTAATGTAAACACCGCGTCACTGTCTCACCTACGTCTTCATACTATTGTAGGCGTCGGTGCTTCAGAAATAGATCTTTTCTAGCACCTTCACAGTGAATTATGTTAAAATTGTGTAAATGTTGTACATTTTCCATATTTGTAGCTTGACGACATTTTTTTGTCGTGTGCAGATTATAATTTTACTGCACTCTAGTTTTGTGTCAGCTTCAGTAAAATAGCTGTCAATTAAAAAACTATGTTAACAA